CCCCCCCAAAAAAAAAAAAAAAAAAGAAACACCTATCAAACCGCCAGTTGCGCCTCCCTTCCTCCGAAACGTATGTATGTGAGATTGCGAAAACATGAGAGAATGTGAAAATTTAGGGCGAGATTGTGAAAACATGAGAGAATGTGAAAACAAAGGCTCGTCCTACGGGACCAATGGGGTACCAGGGGGATTGTGCTAAATTCCGCTTATCTCAACTTTAAGGAGCGCCCAACTTTAAGGAGCATTAGCTGTAGTTTGAGAATGTGTTCGATTTCAGATAGGCGCCAGGCGTTCTATTCTTTATTTTTAAAAGAACTGAAAAGGTGATTTTTTTTCAATTCCGATGTCCAGGGACGAAAATTTCCTAAAAGAACGAGGGAGGGAGTTAAAAAAAAAAAAAAAAAAAAAAAAAAAAAAAAAAAAAAGACGAACTGAATGCATATTTCGATCAAAGCCGCCTTCTTCAAAGTATGCTGGCGATGGGACCATGGAGAAGGAAAAAAAACGAAGGGAAGTGACGTCTCATGCTGGGCAGCGTGGGGTGAGTGCCTTTTCTTTTGGTTTGTACAAATAGGCCCCCATTTTAACGCCCCTTAAACCCTTCTTAAACCCCCTCTAGACCCCTGTAAAAGCCTTTCACCTATCATCCTCCCAGTCAGGGTGCCTGGACTGTCTTTTTTTTGGCTGCCCGCACGGCGCGGGCAAGGTCTTGGGCCAGGCTGTGGCCGGCCCCAGCACAAAAATGAAAAAAAACATATATTTTTTAATCATAAAATTCTTGAAAAAAATATATGTTTTGTAGAATTGCGATATAAGCAACTCTTGGCTGAGGATCGCTTAGGAAACTCCGTATGAAAGGAAAAAAAATATTAAAAAAAAATCATAAAAATGATTAAAAAATCTTGAAAAATATATGTTTTGTAGAATTGCGATAAAAGTAACTCTTGGTTGAGGATCGCTTAGGAAACTCCGTATGAAAGGGAACCAAAAAAAAAGAGGAACTGCGATGAACCTCCCCTCAATGGACATGACAATCATGCATGCGCAGCAGAACTTTCGTGTGAGAGTTCACCCTTGAAACCGAGAGAGTGGAAAATTGATCAGGGCAACAGAAAACCCCGAACAATTATTATTATTTAATTATTATGCAAATAATTGTTTTTGCATCCAGGGGCATCAGCTGCATCCACTCCCGACCCCAATCAGGTTAAGTAACCGCCCCCTCTCCTCGTGTGACTCTCTCTCTCTCTCTCACTCTCTCTGAACTCGTCTCTCTCTCTCTCTCTCTCTCTCTCTCTCTCCTCACTTGTATCGCTCTGTCCTGGCTGCGCTCCCTCTCTCTCCTAGCTTGAGGTCTACCCTGAATACAACGGCGATGTAACTGGCCGAAGCTTCGTGGGTATGGCCACCTTCTACCTCCTCCCTCTCCTAGCTGGGGATGTCTTCTCTCTTGCTGGCGCCTGCTTCTCCTCCGGTCATTACCCTCTGTCCAAGCCACACTATCACACAAGGAACCGGCAGCCCTCCCCCCTCTCCTAGCTATGGATGTCTTCTCCCTCGCCGGCGCCTGCTTCGCCTCTTGGCGCCACCCTCCGTCTGAGGCGGGCTATCGCACAAGCAACCAGCAGTGCTTCCACAACTTTGGGGATGCACAACTGGTCTCCCTTTGCACTGTAGCAGCTATAAATAGAAGCTGCTGACCCGCTTCGCCTGCATCGGACTGGCGCCGGTCGTCCACGGCCCAGGCTGCATGTTGTGTCGTTCCAGAAGTCTCTGGACTTTCTTGGGACGCTGGTGCAACATTGGGCTTTGGGGCTTGACTTTCGGTGTCGGTATGGGTGGACAATTACTGACCTGCGGTGCTTCCGTACCCGACTCTACCGGACTGCCACGTTTTGGCCTACAGAGGTCTACGGGATGCTACTGACCCGGGGACTCGACCTACTGGGACCTAGTGGGCCTGGGCCCAATTGGCACTCTGGGACAAGAACTAGGGACGGACACTGCATGAAATCCTTTCACTTCCGCTTCTTCCTCTTCGCCCGAATACCATGCACCCTCGATATGAATGTACATTACCGGAGTTAGAGCCTTGTATACATTCACGATGAGGCTGCGTGGTGTTTGGAGGAAGATGGGCGTGAAGGGAGAGACGACGCTTCTTAGCTTCAGTCGAGCCGGCGTAATTTTGAGGTCCTCTGAGAAAGTTTCTATAATGTTAATACCCTAGCGTAGCCTGGGACCGGGACTTTTGGACTCTGGGACTGGGTCTCGGGACTGCTCATAGTAGGAGACTATGTGTGGTGGTGTCTCCGCTAACTCATCCTGGTAGCTTTGGCAGAAGTTATATGAATGGCTACGGGGACGAATCTGACCCGTAAGATATGAAAGGTTCATGGGCTGGCTGACCTGCCTGGTACTCACCTGGGACTGTTGATCCAATGGTCAAGGGTTCAAATGTCATTGACTTCAGCAACATTTGGGACTTGAGGGTTGGTTGGTTAGCTGTGTGGCTGTCTATGTAAAGACCCGAAAGATCTCTGAAGAGAGATGACCGAAAGATCCCTGAATAGAGTGGAGGGTTTTTGAGGGTGCGGGATAAAGGGGAGGACGATTGGTTCCGTTGCTAGCTATGTTCTTGATGTCATGGTCCGGTACGCAGTGACTGACGCTGGGCGGCAAGAAGAAGTGGAAGACGGCATTGAAACATCTGCATGGTTATCTCTTCTCTCCGAGTCAACACTTTGACGTTGTTGAGTTGTTGAGGCCTTTTGTGGCCGTCGTCTTCCGAGGAATTGGAGGATCAGACAAGGGGGGGAGAAGTACAAATTGAGTTTCCAGGTGCTACCCTTTGGGGCGCGAGGGGGGTGGAGAGGGTTGTGCATGCCAGGGGTTCAACGATGGGCAGTTTGTTTGGGACACGACTGCGGATCAGACAGGGAAGGGGGAGAGGGTTGCATGCCAGGGGTTCAACGATGGGCAGTTTTTTGGGACACAGCTGCAGATCAGCAGACTTGGAAATGGAGATCATAACACAGGGAGAGAAGGCATGGTGTGCGCTGCGGTAAAAGTTCACATGGAATTCGTTCGTTAAGTTGAGTGCATCTCTCTTCTTGTTGTTTCGAGTCGGGTCGGAACGACTCTCCCTAGCTTATTGGATTTCTAGTATGGCCCTCGCGTGTAAGGTTTATTCACGCGGCCAGGTCGGGGAATTTTCAGCGCCTGTAGCCTCTTGTCATGAAATCCCGACTGAAAAGTCTAATTTGGCGTCAGTTTCGGTGAGCTGTGGTGTGGTAGGTGCAATGGGGTGATGGGTTGCTCTCGTCTGATGGGAATCTCGTTTGCCTACTCCCATTGCTTGTGTCCTATGGATTGCTTCTTGCCCCGTGGAACGGGATCACACTCTCACTCGCTGACAAAAAACTCAGCCACTTAACCAAGCAAGGAACCAACCACCGCCAATGATTTGCGGCTTGGCGATTCGTCTCAAAGTGAAGGCTGCTCGGCCGTCGTTTGTTGGTTGGCAGGAAAGAGCATAAGCGGACACAACACCATGGCGGCTGCGGCGGTGGATCTGCGATCGGATGAAGGGCAAACATGGGTGCTGCAGTGTCTGCAAGCAGCACTAGCATCAGACACTTCCTTGAGGAGCAGCGCAGAGGAGGCCCTTCGGATGGCTGCACGGCAACCTGGTTATGGAATCTCCTTGTCCAAGGTTGTCCTTTCCGGTGAAATTTCGTACGGGGTGCGCCATTTGGCCGCCGTCGTCCTGAAGCAGTTTGTCAAGGAGGCGTGGAAGGCGGGGGACGGCTTGGAGAGCGACAAATCGGCAACGCAAGCCAATCATCAACAGTTGACGGTTGCTCATGCGGAGGACAAGGCGTTCATTAAGGAGTTCCTACCGAATGCACTCGGCGATCCGGAGGGGAAGATCCGTACCGCAGTTGGGATTGTCGTTGCGACGATTGCACAGAAGGACTGGCCAGAGGAGTGGCCTGGACTCATGGAATTTCTCCTTTCTTGCATCCGCGACCACTCGTCCGTCGATCGAGTCCATGGCGCTCTGTGCTGCTTATCCCTGTTCGCTGATGAGATAGACGACTCGCAGATGCCGTCGCTTGTCCCTGTGCTGTTCCCGGGATTGTTCGAGGTCATTTCCTGTCCAGAGGTGTATGGAGTGTCCGTACAGCGCCGGGCACTCGTGGTGCTCCACAGTTGCGTCTGCACGTTGGGCATCATGAGCGGCGAGTTTCAGAACGAGACCAAGGCACTGATCTCCCCCATGCTCATGTCCTGGATGGCATACTTCAGCACCGTTCTGTCAAGGCCGACGACCACGGACAATGCCGACGATTGGAGCCTGAAGATATGGGTCCTTAAGGTACTCATGCAAGTGGTGGTCAACTTTCCCAAGCTGGCTGCCTCGCACATGCCAAACGTGCTGCCGCCCTTGTGGCAGCTGTTTGTTGGCTGTGCCGCTCTCTACGACGAGGTCGCAGGTGCGGAATCGTCCCAGGACCTTGTCGACTCCGATGGAGGCGAGCTCAGTCTTGAAGCTGTCATCGTTCAGATCTTTGAGTTCCTTATTTATCTCGTCGGACAGCCTCGGTTCCACAAAGCAGTCGTGGGGAGCGTGGGCGATCTTGTGTATCACTCCATCGGGTGCATGAAGCTGACGAGGCATCAGGTGGAAACCTGGTCAGCGGATCCAAACCAGTACATCTCTGACGAGGATGACCTGACATTCAGTTGCAGGGTTTCTGGGGCCATGCTGCTGGATGAGCTTGCTGCAGCTTTTGACAATGAAGGAGTAGCAGCGATCCAACAGGCAGTGCAGAAGAGGTTGGAGGAGGCGTCTGCAGCAAGACGAGCTGGGAATGCTGACTGGTGGAAGATCAGAGAAGCTGCCATTCTCGCGATAGGGGGAGTGTTCGAAGCGATTCTAGAGGCGAAGGACGCTGAGGGCACGAACAGAGCATCCAACTTTCTCTCCACCCTGCTGGAAAGTTTTCTGCGAGAGGATCTTGGCAATCCCAGCGAATCTTCCCCATTTCTGCAGGGCCGCGCACTCTGGGCAGCATCTCGGTTCTCGGCTGGTGTCCCAGGAGACAGAGTCGTTCCTTATCTTGAGGCAGCTGTGCGGGGCTTGGCACCCGGGAATCCTGTGCCAATCATGGTTGGCGCCTGCAGGGCGGTCTCTGAGTTCTGCCCAAGGATCAACAAAGACATCCTGCGTCAGTGCCTGCCCGCCATCTATCAGGGAATTGGTGGCCTTCTGCAGCAGGCAACCGAAGAGACCCTCCATTTGGTCCTGGAGACGCTCCTTGTTGCTGTGAGGGGGGATGCTGCAACTGCCGCAGCTATGGAGCCATCAGTGTCCCCTGCAGTCCTCAATGTCTGGGCCGCTCATGTGACGGATCCGGTCATCTCCGTTGATGCTAGTGATGTTATCGAAGCCCTCGCTGAGATTCCCGAGTGTGCCGAATCGCTCGTTGCCAATGCACTGCCTGCGCTGGCAAAAATTTTGTCGAACCCTGACCAGCAGCCGTCAGGGATGATCGAGGGTGCATTGGACATGCTTACCATGTTCTTGCTCAAGGCACCGGTGCACGTAGTGCGCAACATGTACGAGACATGTTTCACTGCTGTGTCGTTGTTGGCGATGAAGAGCGATGACAATGGGGAACTGCAGTCAGCAGCGGAGTGTCTGGCGGGCTTCCTGCGGGCAGCAGGTCCAGGTATCCTGGAATGGGACACATGTGGGCCCGATGCCACGCTGAAGCGTCTGCTGGAAGTTTGTGCGAGGCTGTTGACGCCAGATCTGGATGCTTCAGCAGCCCTGTACGTAGGCAACCTTCTTGTTCAGTTGCTGCGCCAACTTCCGGGATTGATGGCCCCCCATCTGCAGAACCTTGTCAGAGCATTGACAATCAGGATGTCGAGTCGGAGCACCCCCAATTTGGAAGCGGCGCTCATCCTTGTGTTCGCACGGCTGGTCCACATGAGTGTTCCAAATGTTGGCCAGTTTCTGGACCTGCTAAGTTCAGTGCCAGTCGACGGGCATGGGAATGCACTCTCCTTTGTGCTGTCGCACTGGGTTGAGCAAGAGGATCTTCTCCATGGGGAGTATCAGATGAAGGTGGCTTACACGGCACTGGCTCTCATTCTTGCATCGCGCGATCCCAGGATGGCTGCTGTGCAAGTCAAGGGTCAGATGGTAAAAAACGCAGAAAAAAGTGGCATCGTCACCCGATCAAAGTCGCGATCCTCACCGGAGCAGTGGACGACCGTGTCGCTCCCGTCAAAGATTCTAGCCATTCTCGCAGACGCTCTCAATGGGACACAGGAGGGGGCAGGTGTTGGATTGATTGGAGACGAGGAGTGGGACGAGGCCGGCGATGACGATGAGCTAGACGATCAAGATGCTGAAGTCGTAGAAGAGCACCAGAGAATTTCAGGTGCAGAAACAGGCAAATCAGTTTTCCAACCTGCCGAAGCGTTGAAGGGACTCCTGTCGGACGTGCTCGAGGACGGCGACTTCTTTGAAGACCCAGATGCTGCCAATGATCCGATTAACAAGATCGACCTCGCAGTGTACCTGAAGGAAGCTATTAAGCAATTCGCTTTGCAGGACAAACATGCATTCGAAGAGCTTTGCAAGCAGCTGACCGAAGCGCAGAAGTCGGTTGTGTATGGGGCAGTTCAGACGGCAGCCGCCTGAGTTTTTGAGTGAAAAAACTGTGGTACACTTGCCGCTATCTGCGTACACTTGCTCTTCAGGCATCGCTGTAACCTCAAAGCCTGTGTCGCCTCATTGTTGTTCCTCCCGGCTACTTCTACTCTTCCCATGAGAACCCACCCCTTCACACCTTCACAGATGGGATACCTGGGATACCAAGTCCCCAAGTATGCCTATCATAACTGAGTACCTATGGTACGGAGGAGGAGGATGTACGTCTTCAATCTGAGCGAGTGCACATGCCAGAGAAGGGCGAGCTCCCCTGTGCGTTTATCGTTCAGCCTCCATACAATTTCGCCGTCTTGCACCACCTATCATCTCTTTTCCCCCGGATAAAACGTAAGTCATTATTCCCCTATCTAGAATGGAAGTTGCCGCAAATACAGCTATGATGACTGGTCGTTCTATTTGGGGAACCTGGTCCTCAGAACATGGAACCAGATCCTCAGAGTGTGAAACCTGGTCCTCGCCTCGGTTCTCAGAGTGTGGAATCCAGTCCTCAGAACCTAGAACCAGATCCTCTGAGTGCGGAACCTGGTACGCAGAACCTGGAACCAGATCCTCTGAGTGTGGAACCTGGTCCTCAGATTCTTGAACCACCAGATCCTCTGAGTGTGGAACCTGGTCCTCAGAACCTGGAACCAGATCCTTGTGGAACCTGATCCTCAGAACCTGAAACCAGGTCCTCAGATTCTTGAACCAGGTCCATGGAATGGGCAACTTGGTCCTCAGAATCTTGGGTCCGTGGTTCTCAGAGAGTGGAGTGTGGTCCTCAGAGCCTGGAACCAGGCCCTTAGAGTGTGGGACTTCGTTCGTGGTGGAACTGGGCCCTCAAGGTGCAGAAGCTGGGCATCATAGTGGGAAATCTGGTCCTCAGTGGGCGGAAGCCGGTGCACTGGAGTGCGGAAGCGGCTCCTCACTATCTCACTACTACTATGGTCTACCGGATGGAACAGCAGCTGACTACAGATGGCGATTAAGGCGCATGGGTGGGAGAGAGGAAGCAGGCATTTTCCTGACAAAGGAATGACCTTGCATTTGTTTTGTTTTTTTGAAAGAATTGGATAGTGTATGTAGGAGTATGTAGCGGAACCAACTTGCCTAGCTCAGTCGGTACACCCATGAACTGTTGATATACAGACCTGAGTTGGAATCCAGATGCAACCAGATGTTTGGATGGTATGCAGTTCAGCATCTTGTAGTATGAGAGAGAGAGAGAGAGAGAGAGAGAGAGAGAGAGAGAGAGGTTGGGAGCACATTGAAACGGAGAGGTGGGTGGCGGGCAGGTGATGTGGAGGGGCTGTTTTTTCTCAGCCATAGTCCACAAGCCTTCTCCTTTCTTTTCGCCGGCTTCCGTATTTTTGGAGTTATTTTTGTCCTTGTCATCCATGGGAGAGAGAGAGGAGTACGTAGGTCATCTCTGTTGTTGTTGTTGTTGTTGTTGTTGTGGAGTTTGCGGATCTTTTCTTACTTCTGTTTTTGACAGGGTTGACATCAACGCTTTGCGGCATCCTCAGCTTTGGATTTTCTCTGCTCTTTGACATGCGCAGAGTCCATCTCTGTTGTTGTTTTGGAGTTCGTTTTCGCCTTTTTGTTTGCTTCTTTTTCCTAAGTTTTTCACGGTTTGGCTTCGATGCGCCAAGGAAGCGAAAGGGATGTGTGTTCTCTTTTCCTTCTTCGATTGGTGATAGGCATATCAGAGTTTTTTCTGCTCTTCGACATGTGCAGAGTACATCTCTGTTGTTGTTTTGGAAATCGTTTTCACATTTTTGTTTGCTTCTTCTTTTTCTTAAGTTTTTCGAGGGGCTGTCTTCAATGCGCCAAGGAAGTGAAAGGGGTGTGCGTTCTCTTTTCCTTCTTCGATTGGTGATACGCATTGCACCAACCAAGCATAGCCAGGAAGCAAGCTGTAGACTAGTACGGAGAGATGTTGGTCGGTTGCTCTTTGCTCCATAGCCATTGCCTATTGCCCTACCGTCTTCACCCCGAATATAATGCCCGGTCATTCTAGCTGTATTTGGGGCACTTTCCAGTCCAGGCGTAGCGATAACGACCCGGCGTTCTATTCGGGTGAAGACGGTAGTGGTGGAGCATCGGTTTCGTGCCGGAGTGAATTGATTGATCGCTTTTGCGATCTGGGAAAATGAGATTTCGGTTCCAGCAGAGATCGCAGTCTAGAGATTCGACAAGAAGAGAAAATGCGCATTGGTGTTTGCGCATTGGTGTTTGCTCATCTTCCAAGGAGAGCTATAATGAGACATATGGAGAAGTGGATGGATGGATCGATAGGAAAAAAAAAAGAGTCCCTTGCGACATCTTTTTTAATTGGGACGATTCGGAAAAGATTAGCATCGCCCCTGCGCAACGATGACACACATAAATCGAGAAATTGTCCACAGTTACTCCAGAGTCCAAACTCAGTAAGTAAGTGAAAAATAGATCGATAGATGGCACAAGTGGCAGAAATTGCTTGATGGGAGAGTATAGCCTTGCCGGGGCAAAGGTAGAGGAATCAAATGCCTCTTTCCGCCCGTCAGCTTCGCTGCCTGGCTATAAGATAAATGGATAGATAGATAGATAGATATATAGATAGATAGATAGATTGATAGATGGGAGGGTACTCGATAGTTAAATAGCTAGCCCTCTTTCCACTGGTCAGCTTCGGTGCCTGTCTATAAGATAAACGGATAGATAGATAGATTGGAGAGTACTCGATAGTTAAAGAGCCAGATCAGTAGAACTATAGGCAGCCTTAAATTGGTTTTATAGATAGCGATAGAGGGGAAGGAGGGATGGGTAGGTATGTACTACGTAGCTATAGATAGGAAATTATAGATTTAGACTCTGCAGAGGTAAGGAGGTGATTCAGAGGTAGGTGAGGAACACTGCTTTTTCTTCCTATTTCTTTTTTTCCAATTACAGGTGATTGGCGTGGATGATATCAACCGTCTGATTCCGGGGGTTCAGAAAATCTAGTGAATTTAACTGAATTAATTGAATTTTTATTAATTTTTCATCCCTTTGGATAATCAATTTGGATAAGTATCCAGATAAGGTGCATTGCATAGTCTCCAAGAAACCGCTCGGTGGCTCCGTTGGTTTTGCACACACACAGAGACACAGAGAGAGAGAGAGAGAGAGAGAGAGAGAGAGAGAGAGAGAGAGAGAGAGAGAGAGAGAGAGAGAGAGAGAGCAAATGGCCCTCAGTAATCAGAAAACCCCTGCGGGTAATCCTAGAGACCCCTGCAAATAATAAGGGCCTCCTCTCCACGAAAGTGGCACTTCTCGAACACATTGCAGGGCAGCAGCATGCCAGCTATGTATGGTGTAGATTCGCATTAACATCCGTGTTTTAGCAGTTATGGGAGCACGGAGCACCGGATTATGTGGGCAGTAGCAGGCCAACTCACCACGTGACTTTCAGGGCTTCCCTCCGCTGCTCACTAACCCGAGTGAATCTTCTGCTAGAACATGGAATCATACGCCGCCATATGTTGTCTTTTGTGCAGGTGGTGACGAGTGAGCCAGGCCCTTACGGCCACTGCTCGTAGGAAAAGGAAAACAAAAAACAGAAAGAGAGCGCCACAGCAGTATGTAGTGTGTAGTTGTAGCCCATAACTGCTGGAACACAGACCTGAATTGGGATGCAGAAGAAATATTGGTGGCCTGCTCCTCGCGCATCCGAAATTCGTCGAGCGTCTCCGCTGAGATATAAGATCCCTTGCTAATTATTTGCACTGGCCCTTGCTAATTCATTGCAGGGGCCCTTCAGAGAAAAAGCTATATGCAACGAGGAATAGGGGGCCCTAATTTTTTCTTCTTCTCTGCCCTTAAAATCTGTAGGAGGGAGGGGCATGCCTGACTACTTAAGCCACCCCCAATACCCCTATACACCCCCTCAACACCTCCAAATTGGCCCCCAACAACCCCCACAAAACCCCTTATAACCCTCCGATACCCCCCCCTTTCCTCCCCGCATCCCCAACAGTTTCTCGGCGGATTTGGGCTGTACTCAGCGAGCGCTGTACAACCCCTAACTCAGATTTGAAAAAAAATCACTGGGCGACTGTTTTCTGACTGGTTGGTAGACTGCCGACCGGTAGGCCCTACTGGTCGGCTGCAAAACGGTCGGCGGTCGGGGTCGGCGGTCAGCAGGCATGCAACCCTGCCAGTTATTAATAACTAGCGCATCATGTTTTATTTATTTATTTATTTATTTATTTATTTATTTATTTAAATTTGGACCATTTCTCGATTTATGCGTGGCATCCTTGCGCAGGGGCCAGGCTAATCTTCTCTGTATCGTTCCAATTTTAACAGATGTTCCGAAGGACAGGGCATCATGGTTTTAACCCCTTTTTTAACCCCTTTAACCAGTGCTAGGAATTTTTGCAGGCTATATGGATAAGGCAGGCAGGTGTTCATATTCTGTATGAATCATGTCTGCTGCGTGAGCTGAATCCATGGGTTTCCCTGTGTAAAACTCAGGGTTTGAGCTCATGATCTGTTCATCAACACCAACATACAACTATGTACCGCTAAAACACCAAAACTTTGGAATTTTAAGTCTTAACTCGTGATCTGTTTGTCCGACTTTGACACCTGCATATATGACGGTACTGCTTTGCCACAGGCTGGGAGACTGGGGGAGTGAGTTCTGTTTCTTTTTTTTTCTTTTTTTAACATCCAAAAATTGAATTGATGAGATGATCAAAAGCATGGACATGCGAACAAAAAAAAGAAAAAAAAGAAAAAACTGCGATCGTCATAAGCTAGCACTCCCAAGCTCTACTGCGCATCGTCTAACTTCTTGCTCTCTGTCTGAGTTGCGTTTCTCAATTGTGTTTTTTTCCTTTGTTTCTTTTATTCGATTGGCTGATTTGGTGTTGCTTTCTTTGCATTGATGATCATCATTGGAAAACAAACAAACAAACAAATGAACAAACAGACAAACAAACACGAAGATAATCATTTTGCCAATTTGCCGGGTTTTTGTTGTCCACATTTCCAGTTATTTTTCAGTGTATTACTTGGGTTAATCACGGCGCTCGGTTGGGTCGGCCTGACTGGGTGGCTGGGAGACTCACCCAGCCGGCAATTTCCAGCCTTGGCCAACCCTGGCACGTAAAAACTCGGGGAATTATGGGGGCTTTTTTTTGTTTTCTTTTTCTTGTTTTCCCTTCGGTGGGGTGTTTCACTGCCCACCAATTCTCTTTTTTTTTTTTTTTGGTGGGGTGTGACCCTGCCCAGCGAAAGAAGCTCAAATCTCGGTTCTGTTTTGCGTCTAAAATTCTCTAAATGTTGTCGGCTGGGG